TATGTTCACTAAAGCAGCTGCTGGTACTAAAAAAATTACAAGTTTTTTTAAAAATAACAATGATGCTCAAGAAGGAATTTTAAGTGACATATAAGAGGAATTTTCAAGTAATCCAGAGGATGAAGTTTGTCAGATTAATGAAAAAATACAAAATTAAAAGATGAGTTAAAAAAGCGACATAGCAAGATGACAGTTGTTGAATATAATTGGAAGAGAGCTATTTATGAATACCTAACTCTATCAAATAATAATAATGGTTGTAGAAAAATTAGTGATAGTTTAGAAGCTGCTAAAAAAGTTTTCATTGATGGTGGTGTATGGAAAGCAACAAGAATCAGGTATATTACAAACTTTTGGTTGAATAACAATAAACTTCCTATTTCTAGACAAGGAAAACATAAAAAAACACATAGGTTGATTGATGATGAAGATATTGCTGATATGTGTAGAGTTTGGCTTCATGAACAAAATTATAATGCCACACCATCTAAATTTAAAAATTTTATTCAAGAAGAATTATTACCTAAAATTGGAGTTGCCAGAAGAAAAAACATTAGTTTAATGACTGCAACAAGATGGCTGAATGTTCTTGGTTACTCATTTCAGCAACATCATAAAGGTATATATTATGATGGACATGAAAGGGAGGATGTTGTGCAATATCAGAAAGAATTTTTAGAAAAAATGTTTGAGTATGAAAAGTATATGTCCAAATTTGATGGTGAATTTATGGATCAAATATGCCCTTATTTACTTGAAGGAGAGAAAGAAATAATACTTGTAGTTCAGGATGAATGCATATTCTATTCAAATGATGGTAAACATGGAGTGTGGACTAAAGATGGAGAAATGCCATTGCGAAAAAAAGGGAATGGAAGATCAATTATGGTAAGTGATTTTTTAACTGAAGTTAATGGACGTCTTTGTTTGAAACAAAATGATATTGCACAACATCCCTATGTACCTGAGGAAGCCCGATGTTATTTAAAACCTGGAATTAATCAGGAAGGTTACTGGACAATTCAACACCTTCTTGACCAAATAGAATACAAGGCAATTCCTATTTTTGAAGCCTTATATCCAGATTGTGTGGCTTTATTTGCTTTTGACAACAGCACTTGTCATGCTGCTTTTAACAAAGATGCTTTGGTTGCAAGTAAAATGAACCTCAATCCAGGTGGCAAGCAACCACTTATGCAAGACACTTATTTTGGACCAAATAAACAATTACAATCAATGACCTTTCCAGAAACACATCCTGATGAGAAACTTTGAGGAAAACCTAAAGGAATTAAACAAGTGTTAGAGGAACGAGGAAAATGGTCAACTGAAGGACTAGTATTAGAATGCAAAGATTGTAAAGAAAAGAATAATGATCTTTCAAGAGTTTCTTGTTGTGCTCATCAAGTAATGTCCTTGGAACCTGATTTTCTTGCACAAAGGGGAGCAGTTGAAGAATTAATTGAAAATGCAGGTCATAAATGTATTTTTTTTCCCAAGTTCCATTGTGAGCTAAACTTTATTGAGAGATATTGGGGCTGCCAAAAGACATTTGCATGAAAATTGTGATTATTCTTGGCAAGGATTACAAAAGGCAGTGCCTGAGAGCCTTGAATCAGTACCTTTAATTACAATTAGAAGATTTTCAAGAAAGTGCTGGATCTATACAGAAAAGGGATTAATGGTAAATTGGCAGAATATGCTGTCAAAAAATATAAATCTCATAAGAGAATACCAGATGGAGTAATTGAAGAATTGAACAAAATTAGAATTAATTGATTGTATTCTTTATTATGAGTAAAATTAGCTTTTACATTGTTAAAAACCCATGTAGAGGTTGGAACCAGTTCCTATCTTTCATATTCAATAAACCAAATATAATATGGTGCGGGTCATCTAAAGACATCAAATGCTGTGCCTCACTGCCAAATCTTCAAATCCCAAAATAGTAATGATACTCTTTTGTGTCACAGGATTATAACATCACATGACTCAATCATTTTATCGTATTCATTAATTAGCATTATATAGCAATGTTACAAAATGACACTTACGCGTTGAAAAAAAATTAAAAAAAAAAAAATATAAAATTATAAAACACATAAAATAATAAAAACACAATTCTTTGTAGTAAATACCCTGTCTAGAAGGTTTCTGTGGTTCATAAATACTTTTTCTGAATTAAAGTATATATATACTTGTATGTCTGCCAATTCCTTGGTAGACAATTAATTACCTAAAAATTAATACAATGGAAAATCATGAAAACTCTGCAAGATTGCAAAATGGACTTGAAAATGTCAGTAATAATGATGTTGATTCTGATATGAATTTAGATCAAAGTGAAGATAAGGATTGGACTGTTGTCAAAAGAAAGGAACGT